TCTATCTTAATGAAACTCGGTAGGTTAGAAGAAGCCGAAAAAGTTTACCGCCAGCTTATTGATCGAAATCCTGAAAATATCGATTATTACGATAAGCTCGAAAGCTGCATTGGATTAGGTGAAAGTGCGCAAACTTTGGTTTGCTTTCAACTCATGCAAGCACCTATCGAAAATAACAGGAGTCGTTAAGGTGCTCCCATTGCTGATCGCATAGCAATGTATGATTACTTTGCTGACCGCTACAAGCGTGCTGCTGCACCTCGACGACAACCGCTGTACTTGTTAGAAGGACCGGAACTAGCTCACCGTCTTGATGAATGGATCGTGAAGGGATTGCGGAAAGGTGTTCCCAGTCTTTTTAAAAATCTAGTCCCTTTGTACAACAACCCAAGCAAGGTGAGATTTTGTGTTCAAATTTCCTTCGTTATTAAACAGTGTTCAGGTTAGCATTATCGAACAGTTACTGTTAGACTATGTAAAACATGTGGAGACGAACGGATATCGTGGAGGGTCGCTTCATGGTGAGTTCAGTTTGCATAATTACCTGAAGGTTGATTGGTATTTCAAATTCTACCTTCGTTACGTTGATTTTTTATTTGATCTTCAGTCGTGTGCAGATAGCTATCGGCCATTTTTAAGGAGACGGTGATGAAATGGAATCTCCGACTTCTGCGCTGTGGTTGTATCTACTCGTCGCTCAGCACTTTGATCGGGTTGGAAATATTCCAGTGGCGATGAAATATGTTGAATCTGCTTATGCGCACACACCTACTCTCATTGAGACGTTAATGGTGAAGGCAAAAATTTATAAGGTGAGAAATACTATTAAATGTTTCTAATCAGCATATTTGCGGAGCAAACGTTTATTTTCTTCTGTCTGTCTGAATCTATCATAATAATAATTCTTCCGCTTAGCCATTTATATAATTTTTATCCTCTGTCGTGTGCGTGGTTATTCAAATGATTAGCTATATGTCCTGTGCAGTCATTGTTTCGCATAATCTTCTTCAACATAAACTTGCAAAGATACATGAAATTTGCAGATTTGCCACAAATAATTTGTGATCTTTTGCAATTTCCAGTTTAGATCAATTTTAGCATGCCGGAGATTATACCGAGGCGGCTAGGCTAATGGATGAGGCACAGTCTTTGGATACTGCTGACCGTTACATTAATAGCAAAGCTGCTAAGTATCTGCTTCGTGCTGGACAGATGGAACGTGCGGAGAAAATGTGCGGCAAATTTACTAGAGTAAGTTTTCTTTATATCTTGAATTTT